TTTTCATACATACACCCCTGTTCGTTAGCATAAGTATATTTATATGGTTGAATATATGATTAAAAACAATATTAAAAATTTATGCAAACATTTAAAACATATTATAAATCAAATAGGTTAAGAAATAAGATAATGATTTGAGAATTTGTATATACCCTTTATCTCCTCCCCCCCCCCCCCCCAAAGAAAATGCTATAAAATACATTCAAAAAGAAATATTAGTGTGTATCTAATATATAACATATTATTCCTTCATTCTGATTATAATGTTAATATATGCATCTCACAAAATGAAAAAACTCCAAAATTTCTCAAATCATAACCTTATTTCGCAACTCTATATTAATAACTAACTATTAACAACTATAAATTGACAATTTCATAACCTATAATAATATACAATATACTATATCCAAAATTTATTAAAACATACCACAGTTAATTGTCTCGCCACTTCCTCTAACCCTCTGAAATCCACGAATCTTTATTTCGTCTTAAACAAAACACGAACTTCGAATCACCTTCTATTAACCTTCCCCAATAACACGTTCCGATCGTCACGTCGCGCAAAGGACGCGAACATGTGTCGCTACGCCTCGAAACAGGGGTGCATGTACATACCGTTCCCGCCCAACACGGGAAAAATACACCGGAGAACGTTAAAGTATAATAAGTAAAACAAACAAGACGTACCACCTGAAGATCTCGTAGGATGAAGCAGCGGGTAGACTCACAGCAACATAATACGGAACGCGGTACTGTTCACTAACCTCTCCACAAATCACCAAACATCAATGGGTCATAACGCGAGAAACCACGGCGGTAACCTCTACGCGGCGCGAAACGAAAACAAACGGTGGTGGGGGAAGGACGAGGACCGCATAGTGTCTCGAGGCTGTTCCACCAGCGCGAAGGAATCGTTGAACCGAAAGAACATCGAACTCTCGACGCGCTGTGCTTGAGAGGTTCTTCGTGCGAGTACGAACGCGAAAGTTACCGCGAAAAAAAGGGAAGAAGACCGAGGTTATCGCGCAGATACGCGTGAAATTCAACGGCGACGTGACCAGAGAGGGTTACGAACGCGGAGTCGACCGATGGTAACGGCACAACGCACACACAGTGAGAACGTGTTCGGTGAGAAAGCGCGCGCGCCAACCACCGCGACGACCTTTCTCGCTCGAGGATCAGTCGAAGACTGCTCGTCCGAAAGTGGGAGGCCTCTTTTTCGAAAGCATCGTTTTCTCCACGGTGGCGAGGCTTCCGGACAGAGGTAACCGGGCATGCGTGCCACGGGCCACCCGATCAACGCACTGTACACACAGGGTGTGCCAACAGGCACGTTCGAGCTGTATAAACGGCGAACGTTGTACAGGGTGGTTCGAAGGTAAATGACTGAACCTTCGCGAAATATTTTATTTACCCGTTATTAATATTCGAAGTTTATTTGTATTATTAATATTAATAAAAATTTATGTCCACGACTTTGTCATTAATTAATTTATTTCTTTTTTCAGCTTTTCGAGTATTAAACGTGCATAGAGTGGTTCGATAGTAAACGATAGAATTTCTGAGGAATATTTTATGCAACTATTATTAATATTATTCATACATTTATTAAGGGGTTATTCGCATGTAAAACCTCAAAAAAATCGTTTTATTTTTATTTACTAATAACTCTCGCCGGAAACAAAATCACATTTTTATAATGTATTTATAATATGTTTATATCAGAATATTGGATGTATTCGATATAAATAAAATAAATAAAAATCTTTCTGATCTTTTTCCTCTAGTAATAGGTATTTACTCCCAGGGTGCTAAAACGAAGAATTAATAAAAGTTCTGTAAAAAATTATTTTGTATTCCCAAAGGATATTTAAATAAATTGCTGAAATGAATCATAGTTAACTCTATACGATTCTACGTTGAGCTGAACTCGACGTTCTGTTTTGATCGATCCATTTTAGTCTTAAATTACGAAATATAATCACAACTTTCGATCTAAAAATCAATAAACTCATATGTGAGGTATTTGATAGATAAAACTCTCATTATTGGTATGAATAGAACCAACATAACGACCTCCGACTCTCTAAGGGTTAATATTAACCCTTTACAACCCTATGTCGAGCTGGTCCCGACCTTTTGGATTTTTGAAAATTTTGGTATTAAAGCTCTTAATTAAAGCTTAATTTTTTATATTTAGGATAATTTCTACCTTTGTTTCGTGGAGTTAATTAATCTGGTAAGTGTGTCATATATTGGCAATTACGTTTGAGTAATTTATGTATGAGGTTTGATGAATAGTTACTGAAAGGAAGATGTTATAGCCTCGTTCCTAAGTTTCTGGGTACTTACAGTAACTTTTAACAAAAGTTGGCGAATTTTGTCAAAGTTTACAATTGATGGGAAAATAATGGCCGAAAATGGGAATCGGATAGCCTATTATGAAATCAGCAGACCAGAATTTTAAATTATTTAATTTCAATTTTGGAAATTTTGTACTATTCTGTATTATTGATCGAGCAAAACCTGGTACTTCCTTTGTAAATTTAGAAGCTTTTTTTATCTGCTTCATAATTCAAAGATAATAATAACAATGACAATTGCAGATGTCAATTTGTTTATTAAAATATTTTTGAATAAGAGTATATTCAGATTTGAAGATATTTCCATTTTTCTTTTTCTTTCCTATGTTTATGAAAAGTGGAATAGAGTATTAAAATTGTATCGCCAATTTTTAAGACACCCTGTGTAATATACGATACTTTAGAAGATATATTATTTCTACAAATTTGTCTTATCTCCATGGATGCTTCGAATTAGGCATTTTTAGAGTTTTTCTAGGAACTTGTGTATAATAAAAACATTAAAGAAAGCAAATCAGGGTGGAGATACGAAGAACGACCCTTCTTTTATACCGAACCATGTGTATTTTTTGACACCCCTGCTGATTTTATGGCCTCGCTATATTCCTTTCAACAACCGTCCGAGACAAAAACATGCTCTCTATAGATATACAATGGGTACAAAAGTATTTGTGGGTTTTCAATGACAAGTTCTTCAATTAAGTTCTTCATTTAGTGACACGAAATTGTTATAATCGAATAAAAATACATTTAATGAAATAACGATAAGATAAAAGGAAATTTAATAAATTTGGATGTATCAATTAATATGTAAATATCGAAATAAATATCAAGTAAATGTCCAGGAAGATTTGAATAATTTATTTTCTTTTTATTATATTTCATTAAATTCAGTCTACTGTTTTATCGTTTAATCCTGAATTTAGTAATCCCTAGAGTTTATTAAATGTACCGAATGAATTTATTAAATACTAATTCCACTGTCAGAATCTATAACACGATAGATTCCACAGGTTTAAATATCACCCCCTGATGGAATAATCTATATTAAACCATATATAAATATCAACCTTTTTCTATTCAGAGATAAATGTATGGTCCAGTTTACGAGGACTATCTTAATGGATGGGTATTAGTAGAAGAAAAACAGAACAGAAAAATAACGATAGAAAAATAAATTGACTAATTTATTGGTCATAGAAAATTGTAAAATCTGATATTTAGCACCCTAAGAAAAATATAATAAATCCTCATAAAACTTCAAATCTAACAAATTTACATGATATATTTAATTTGAAAAAAGTGGTAATATTGTTGAATTTAAGAAAATTTGTATGTCCCTTATGTCAGTTTTACTTGGACAGTAAGTAGTCTAAGAGAAAGTTTATATCTGTACTGACTGTCATGGATCATCGATGACCCACATAAGAGAAAACGTGTTGATAAATATTTGACATTTTTCGCGAATATTTGTGCACGATTATTCGCTGAACGTTATCTCCACACGTCCGTCCTTCGACGTCAATATTCACATTTTCTATATCTCTCGAGATTACGTGGCATAAAACAAACGAATATTCGTGTACCTTGATTCGCATTAATTTATCAACTGAAACCAGTACAATATTCGCTGTACGGCACGAATATCGAATCATGTAACCACATTTGCGCGTTTTAACGAGGGTATTGAATATTCGAAAGCTGTTCCAAACTAGGGCTGTCTCTATAGTGTGGCGCAAAATGACTAAGTTTGGCTGTTGAATGGAATACAGCATTGTTCAAAAGTTTGGGATCATTCTATAATGTATAATCTTAATTTGATTGAACAATTGACTTAAATTAGAAAAGTAAAATAAAGAAATATACCTTTATTCGAAAATTATAGTGTAACTGAAATTTAAAGACTTAATTAAATTATTTTGAACATAAAAAATATTTTGTGATGTATAAATTGTAGACTTATGGAGAAATACTTAAAATAAGAGCTGTAAATATTTTATTTTTAATTTTTATCAACCTCATCACTTGAAATGATCTTGAAGAATGATCTCAAACTTTTAAACAGTTGTTTAATAGTTATTCAAAAAGAAGTAGAGATTACAAATCTAGAAGTATTCAAATCAGAATATTTTTATCTAATATAATCAATTTTTAAGTATTTTTTAATTTGTTGAACAAGTTATAAACTACGAATATGGTCGCGACAATCTATTATGGTATTCGAAAATAATACTGCTTTATGCTACTCATTAAACCCGTTAAATAATATCTAAAAAAAAAAAATAAATGAGAATAACAATATACTACTTTTAAAACGAATTGCAGAACCGTATTACGAAACATTGCACACGAGATCCTACATAATCTTATATAACTTACGTATTACGATATCACCTCTTTAAAAACAGCGTAATATATTAATTGCATAAGCACGTAAAAACTTCAGCGTTTTATAAAACATTCAAACGTGAGGCGAAATTATTATTTGATATATATATATACATAACAATATTACAAATCATAGAAATAAAAATACTTCTATAGTTTTCTACTATGTTTTAATTCATTAACTGACTTTGTAATTTCTACTATTAGTTAATAATTAATTGTATAAATTAAAAATTGACTTACCAACCAGCTATCCCATTTGGTTGTATCTCCTGCAAGAATATACCCAGCTCTCCTTTATCCTTACTGCGAAGACCAACCACACTGAATCCCAGACTGGTACCTTCTGGTTTATACAACTTGAAAAAGAATGATTACATTTAATAGCTTAGTATGGTAAACCAAAGTATATAAAATATATTCTACTAACCTGCACAGTAAATATCTGACGCCCTCTTGCTGCAGCTTCAATAACTTTCTTGAATTCTTTAACATATGTCGTTGTTGTAATTGGGGGCATTCCCATAACCTCTGATACAAGACTTGGGCTTGTAACCTATAGTAAAATGAAAATTTAATATGAGGTACAAAAAGAAATTCAGAAAGATGTTTTAAATATACTTCAAACAAAATATTACCTGAGCGCTAGTATCTTCACTGCTACTATGCACCAATGGAACAACTGGAACCCTTTGATCTTCTAATTCACTACTATCTTGATATAAATCTTGATATACATTTGATCCAAGTGGTTGCACTGGTGTACTGGGAACAGAAAGTTCCAGTTGTCCACTGATATTAATGTCAAAATCTCCAGGGATAATAGATGGATGTTGTCCCAGTTGAGAGTTTAGTTCGATCAAAGAATCTTGGATTGTCACTATGCTACGGAATACAGGATCTTCAAGAAGAGAAATTAAAGATTTTATATCTTGAGTTGTATGCATTTGTAGTTTAGGATCATTGCAATCTTCCACTCTTTCTTGAACATGCTCCAATAAATGAAGAGCTGTAGATATGTCTGAAAAAATTAAATGAGAACAATTCATACATTAAACACAAATAAATGTTCTTATTAAAAGTAATAAAAAAATTTAGATATAACACTTTATGTAAAAGAGATAAAAATAATTAATTAGTTAAAATATTTTTTGATATATTGTATTTCTATTTACCTGCACTTAGAGGCATTTTGTTTTTGTTAGATTTGTTTCAGCTAAATGAGTATAAAAAGTCTTGTTAATCCCCCTGTAAAATACATATATATTACTTTAATTATAATTTATATCTTATATATTATATATTTCTAATTGAGCGAAATGAAACTATTAAAATGTGTTACTTAACCTCTATAATAGACAAACGATAAAAGACAATGAATAAAATTTATAATCTTCTTAATTCAATGGAGTCAATAAAATATTAGTAAGAACATCTTAAAACATTACATTAACTATCGTTAACATTAGCTGCACCATGAATTTATCGTAAATCAATACGTAGTCACATAACTGTTTTAAATATTAATACAACTATGATTTTTCTTACCTAAATTTCTTTAAAAAATTGAAGTAGAAGGCAAGCAGTTTGCGACTTGATAATTCTCAAGAAATTTCACGATCACACAAGAAAATTACAATTGATTTCGTGAAATATCACAAGAAGCGTTTAATTGCATTTTGCTATCAGCTGACTATGCCAAACTATCGAATGCTTGACAGTTCGTACCATGGGAGAGGAGAATACAGATTGACTTCACCCATAGAATGCAAACAAACACCAATGCGTGCAAAGCGCGGGAAAGTTTGAATATCCAATTTAAGACGTGCCTCTGTAATATCCTACTAACACGGTATTAGATCAATAAAACAATTATTTTCTGAAAGTTTAATTACAGTTATGTGCTATTGTTAATAAATTCAAAAATATTTTATACTTATTAAATGTACTAGATAAAACAAATAAAATATAACAATAAATTAACAAGAATTTGAAATAGAAGATATTGTACTCATACTTCTAAGATTGTGAAATTTTTAATGAAATAACTATTAATTACTGTGAATAAACTCAATAATAACTTTGTTCTAAACTTTATCTATACAAAAGATTTGTATCTGAACTTTAATTTTGAAGGAAGCACAATATAATTGTAATATGCCAAAATAATAGTAGAAATTTAATCTTTCTGTGTAATTAAAAGTTTATAACAAGCATAGCAAATATCAAACTCTACCCCGATTAAAAACTACCAAAAATATGTTATCAACTATCAAAGTATCAACAAAAGACATTTCCCATTCATTTACAACTAAAAGAACTAATCAAAATTCCCGCAGTGGCTTGGAAAACCAATCTTGAAATCGGCGTAGACTGATTACTTTGTTCGTGCTCGTAAAATTTGAATAAAAATGAAATCAGTCTAAATATAGGCAAGCAATAAAGAACAAACGAAACTGGCTGCGCCGACAGATCACGAAGACCGCCTATCCCAGCTCGTTGTTCATCCTAGTTGACCTCAGGTAGAAATCTCTAATCCATGATTCCGCTACGAGCAACCGGGCGATCGTCCATCGACACAATCAACCCGACATGGCGACGCTCCGATGCATCGATTCTCAAACGAGAAGTCACGAGCCCCTGGGGGGTCGTGCACGCTATCTAAGCACTTTCACGGTCATATAAATCCTGAAACCTGGAACATAGCATAGACCAACCATCTCTTTTAATACAAACGCGAAATCATCTTATACATCCCCTGAAACCTGTTCCATAATTCACCTAAAATCCTCATAGTTGAAGACAGGCATGGAAAGGGAGTCGTTAGCGTTATTTCACAGGATGACGAGACGATGAAGCTTGAGAACCCACGGTCCTGGCGTTTACACGCACGTCGAACGTTTTCCCGGATGGCCCCACGGAAACCGGACACAATGGAGCTGTTTCCGGTGAGCACAAGGCCAGAAATCGGACGTGGGGATCCCACCGCGCCTGTGTACCACCGGTTGTGTTATCTCTCCTCCGCATTCTGCCCCCTATGGCTCGTCTATGCGAGAATCATTCATCGAAACAATTCTTCCAACGCCGTTCCTCCCCTCCGACCCCGCGTACGCTCAGGTGTTATCCATTATTTCCACGGTTTGCACCGATTTTGACCGTCAGTTTGATTACAGGTGCCATTCGTGTTGGATGGACGGTTCTGGTGCATTTTGCCGGGTTTGTTGTTTGAGTTGCTCGTAAATCATACGCGGGCCAGAGTCTTTTGAGGTCGAGGAGGAACTTGTTCTTGCGCGCAAACGGTTGCTCTTGGAGTGGACAGATACACAGTGAGATTTGCTGTTGCCTGTAAGTATAGTCAGTAGAATTTAAGTAACTGTAGGTCAATAACACCAATCGATAGAATTGCTTAGGAGAAAAAAGGGGGGCAATCACTAATATCTATTGGATTCTAATAATCTAAAAATTACATTATAGAAGAACATTTTTGGAACAAAGGAGATAAATGATAAGTTAAGTAGTACAAATATATTCAGAATTATAATCTTTCTGAATTTATTAAGAATTTTTATATTTTAGCAGTTAGAATTGCAATATAGTAATTTTTTGTAATTTTATAGTGCTGTTTAAAAGAGCATATTTAATCCAAATTAAAGAATAATGTCATTTCACAATTTCAAGGTAATTCTGATGAATTTAAATGGAAAATTGTTTTACAAATTTGTGTACAAAGAATTACCAGGAAACTTCTTCTGCTAATTCTAGTCAATTTAAAAAGATTGTCCCTTAAAAAAAAAACTAACAATGATAGATTATAATTCTGCAAGATCCTACGAGCATTAATATCGCGCAATTGAAGAATATGAAAATTGTTTCTAGCACGCAACAATGTTATCCACGTTCCATCTACTATTCAAGGTATCGCGATAAAATCTCCTTTTTTGCAGTTCACAACGAGATTATTTTTGAAGAGTATATTACTATGATGTAACTGCATTTTATTAAAAGAGGAAGACAAGTGTAATAAAAAATAATTTTCAGGATACTTGAAACTTAATAAGGAAGAAATTAGATAAGATATATCCTGAAGAAATGCAGTCTTTATATAATAGATCTTCAGTCTCTTTGAACGTAACGTTTCGAACTGCTATCATAATTGCAATCATATGTTTATTTATGAAGGTGCGAGCACGATTATGCGAAATTTAATAATTTGCAATTATAATATTCTATCAACGTGGTATTATAATACGTGTACTGGTGATTCGAGTGACCCGAATCTATAATTTTCTCTCATCGACCATAACGTTAATCACTGAACATGCATCCATCCTCGTTGGACAGGGAACTATAATTATCGAGGTGATAAACCATAACATAATTAATAAGCAGCGTTTCTGTGGCACGCATGTGCAAGGTTCGATGCATCTAATGGAGAAGCACGTGTGCCGTGGGTGACAATTTGTAAATTAGAGCGTTTCCTTGACAAATGTACATTGTTTGCTCGATGATTAGCATGCTGAAAAATTTCGGATAATAATAGGTACATATAACAAAAGATATTTAACTAAACGATGTCGTTAAATATTTTCTATTAAAATTTCTCATATTTTTAAAATAAACTCAACTACAAATTATGATACTAATTTGTATAATACTTTACTTTCCTTGAGGAGATAAATATATAATTACCATATACAGGAAGATTGGAAACCATGTAATATGTAATTCTTAAGATATCATCCCTTAAATTTAGTCTCTACTTTTTTGAACGTCATTTTCTTTTTGCTTCACAGGTTCCAAAAATGATCATAAATAATTCTTGAATGAAATAAATATCCAAGTGAATTTTGAGCGATAAGTATGCTCGAATTTAGAATTCCATACATGACTGCCAAGATACGAAACTCCTTTCCTGCATTCAGGGTATCCTACAACATTCAAAAACCTTTCTGTTCAACCATCATAAATTTCTGTCCTGCCGTTTCCATCGAAAGACCAAAAGCTCTTTTCATTTTTCATCATGGACGCGATCCGAAAGCACAAGCGAATCGACGTGTTCCCTATGAAAGGTGTCGGTGTAAAGGATCTGTCCTTATGAAAAAGTAACATCGAAGCGTGGGGCGTGATATGGAAGAAGCGTCTCATTGTCAGCCAGCTGGACGTTTCGATATATTCAAAGTGCGCAGAGACAGTGGAAGGTTTTATGGAATTCCTGATCTGCGCTCACCCTGAACACCTCCACACGCTCGCACCCCCGTGAACCTTTTCTCTGACGCTTCGCATGCACGTACACGCGGCCAAAGGACCAGCACACGCCCGTAAAGCCAACGAACCGTGCTTCCAACTTTCAAGCATTACATTATTAGTTGCCTCCTATCTTGTCGATTACTGTTACCCGTGTGTGTGAACTTCATCTAAAAAAAAAGAAAAAAGAATGAGAATAAGTTGACTGTTTTGAAATTATTGAAATTTATTTGTCGGTGGTGAAATCACTGTAAAAAAAAAAAAGAAATGGTAATGATAATTAGATACTCACTCATACAAAATTTTATTTTCTAGTATTCTTATTCTTGTGAGTAAATTTTGTCTAAAAAAGAAAGTGGAAAAGGAATTATTGGTATTAATTGGTCAACAGTGAAATGATTATTTGAAAGAAAATTGATAGTGATCTATATATAGATTTTTTTTTATACTTACTAGTCTTTGCAAAAATTGTTTTAACAGTAGAATTTTGCTTTCCTTATTTTCCGATTTGATATTAAAATTTTCATTTATTCTTGAAATTGATTTCAGAATCTCGTTATTGGGATGACTACTTAAGACAGGGACTTAATAACTGAAGATGAAGAAGACTAACATATCGAACCTACTGCAATCCATTTCCTTGCTTGCTACTCTGAGAGTGGTCGTTAATGGTGAGTCTCAACCCTTGGTAAATTACATTTCAGAACACAGAATTTTAATTGTTATAAGTTCCATCTTTCTCTCTCAAATTCTACTAAAATCAATCGTGTAATACCAAATAAAGACAAATTCAAGGAAAAAGAGAGAAGAATGGAAAAATTTCATAAAATGGAAAATTTCATTTAATGAGCTCCGTCATTGTGCCCCGAAAAAATGGCTTTTTCACACCTCTGGATCATGCTCGCGAGAATCGCGGCCACGGAAATTAATGATGGAACGCGGCGCAAAAGAGTGATGTCACTTACTCGCTTGCGAAATTACGTTTCGTCCCATTGTATCACCGTACGTGCCACTTATGGCACGAAAAAAAAAGGGGAAAAAATAACATAGACGATAAAATCGGACCGTTCTGACGGTCGTGACTCGCGACCAAAGGATGTAACCCGATTTTTACGGGGACAGGAAATAATAATATCTATTTATGAGAAAATGACAGCGACAGAGGGAGAAAATGGAACAGCGTGTCGTCTATTGAACACATTCCAGAATAGACGATAACGAAAGAACTGTTGCCGTGTGTTTTCAGGGCAAACAACGTGTAATGGCGGCCTGGGTCGAGTCGTTTACGAGAGACTTCCGGACCAACAGCTTCAGGGTTTCGACGAAGATGTGGTATAAAATGTTTCGCGAAATATTTATCTATCTCTCTGGCAGTGGGCGGTTTTCAAATATTCATGCTGGCTCCAGAAAACTGCCCTGAAAGCTCGAAACACGACCTCCTGGCGATGAAACGTGAAAAATTAGAATTAGGATGTCGATTTACTGCAGTTGCAGGAAGAAGACTATTCTATTTTATTGTACCTTATGTAGTATGCAATATTATCTAGCTTTCAGTATAGTTAGAATTGAATCAAAATTATAGCGTCTACCAATGAAAATAGTTACAGGGGTATGGTGAAAATAGATAAAATAGATATCTAGATAAAAGCCAACGTTAATTTTGCCAAAAGTAGCTGCATATTTTCCACACCTGCAAAAACAACAAAATTAATCATTTTTTATCTCAATACTTCTATTGTTAAAATAAATTATTGTTTATGGTGTTTTAAGAATTACCAAACCTTAGGATTCCTTCAGTAACATTGCTATCATGAAATAGAAAGTAAAGCAGTTAGAAGAAGGATAATTCTTTTACAGAAGAAAGATAATAAAAAATCAGCTCATATTTCTAAATTAATTTTCCCTGAACAAAATTATCTCTGTAGTATATTCTTATAATGGAGACAATTTTGACACGTCACCTAAAGCCATTGTCATCGCTGCTGAACACCCGCTAATTTATCTTAGGTACGAGACTCTGCACCACCGTTTAGGGTCTTGGAAAAATGTCAGGAATTATGTCTACGTGATAGAACGGCAACGAACAATTTAGTTCACGCTTGCACGAGCTTCGATTTCCAGCCAGGCAGCAGAATAGCTTCTTTCAGCGGGGCAGCTGAATACGAAGAAAGTACTTGCTATTTAACGAGGGAGCAGGCACAGCCAGAAGGAATCGGAAATCTAATGCTGGTGCCAAACAGCGTTCATTTCACCGAAGTTTGTCTTGGCTGTGAGTGTATTTCCTCGATAGCTTCCTGGTTCTGCAAATCAATCCGTCATTTAAATTTCAGATCACGTTGCTCAATATTTGTCAGTTTACAAAGAGTTGATCGTTTCACAATAATTTACAAAATTCATTAATCTTTATGAGAATACAATAATTTCATTTGAAATAGAATACTTTAAAATATTGTAATTCTAAATAAAATATTTTAATTATTATATTCTTCTGTGAAGCTGACAGGATAGAAAGAGAATGTCCAAATAGGCGTTACGTTTTCGAGAGACACCCCAGAAAGAAGTTGAAGTTGCCATTGACGGATATCAAGGAAGTTAGCGCAGCGAATAGAACAGATTGCGAGGACAGGTACCTTGAAATCAAAGAAAATATATAAATAAATGTATAATTACAAGTATTTGTTGAATAAAAATTTCGTTCTCTTACTTTGAAGATGCCTGAACGAGTTCAGCTTCATCTGTCGATCCGCGACCTACGACACTACTTTGAGAAGCTGTGCTCTGAGTCGATTCACCAGAAGAACACATCCTGAATTATTGGAGGACGATCCAAATTCTGATTACCTTGAAAACACTTGTTTAAATGGTACTTATTAATTCTTTTTTCCAAAATTCAGGTAACATCAAGTTATACTTTAAATGTTTATTAAACTAGTGCTCTTAACTAGGAATTTTAATATGACAAAAAGGATATTGAAATCATTAGAATATTAAATTTTTAGAATTCATGATTTACTGACTGATCGGATTTGACTTCTGTAATTTATTAGCAGAACGTCGTTGCGATGGATTAGCTGTGTTCGTCAAAGAGGAAAACAAGCGCCTTCGAGGGCCATTCGAAGTCGATATCTATACGAATCTCACCCTAGACGAGTGCCAAGCCCTTTGTCTCAGAGCAGAGAAATATTTCTGTCGAAGCGTGGAGTTCGATGAGCAAACGCGTCAGTGTGTCATTTCCGAAGAAGACTCCGTCTCTCAGAAAGACGATATTGGAATAAGCAGCAGCCCCAGCCATCATTTTTACGACTTGGTTTGTTTGGACAATCGTAAGTATAAAATACTACCAGTAGCTTTATCTGAATCTTTCCAATAAGCTACCAATTTTTGAGTCATATTCAAAATATTCAACCTTACTCGACACATCAATATTTACCAAACACCAATGCTATTAAATACATTTATCATCTACATTGCATTCATTTCAAGCTAATGCTATTTAATTTACCATCGAGTCAGAACAATACAATTTCATGATCACCTAGTTCCCAAAAGCAGTTTAACGATTTTTATCATCGTGTAATTACATGTTGGTAATAATTACCAAATTATATGGAATTGCCATAGTAACTTCCCTAGTCTTAATGTCAAAAAGAACAGCATTTGAGAACTGAACGAAAGATTCGAGTTTCTTTACATGTTAAGACTTCGTTAGCAGTGAAACGATCAATTAGTACCTCGCAACACTTTACCAATACCCACTTACGAAGCGTAGACCCGCCCATAGCACGTGGCTCTGAGTACCCGGACAGCAGCTCCACATCACACCTTTTTTCCGACGGACGACGTCCTGACACCGCGTTCCAGCGTTATCGGAACTCCAGATTGAGCGGCGAATTTCATTCAGAGATAACTGGACGTAGTTTAAGCGAGTGCCTTGACGAGTGCCTTCGACAGACCAGCTTTCAATGCCGCAGCGCTGTCTATTCTGAACATTATCACACATGTCGATTGAGCCGATTTAATCAGCGTGACGGACACAGAATCATCTACGATGCAGATTACGATTATTACGAGAATCTCATGCGTGAGTGATAATTATCTTGATACATGCGTTATCGTATTGCACTTTGATATCTGGAATTAGAAACAGTATGTATCATACTTAATCAAAGGACGAGTAAAATTAGATAGATACTTGTGCTGTTTTTGCTCCTACTTTAGATCACTATACCTTATGTAGAAGTAATAGAATAAAGGTAGATTAGAAACTGCGACTCTACTTTTAGTCTTTCCTTACTTGTATACCTTTTGCATAATTTAATATGAACAGACCAATATTTGGATGGCGACCGAGACAGTCCAGGATATAGACCAGATCCTTTGGGGCAGGACACGAATTTTGGCCGACCTTCTCTTGGAAGACCTGGTAAAATAATAACAAAAATTACTAGCGAACGAAAACTTTTAATATAAATAAAATTCATATTCCCACACAGGTTACCCAGAGGATTATGATAAAGGATACAGCAGCAGCGTGAAACCGGATCGATATCCAGATCGTTACCCAGATCGTCACCCAGATCGTTATCCAGATCGATATCCAGATCGATACCCAGATCGTTACCCAGATCGTTACCCCGACAGATACCCAGATAGATATCCTGATAAATATCCTGATAAATATCCCGATAAATATCCCGATAAATATCCAGATAAATATCCCGACAAGTACCCCGATAAATATCCAGATCGTTATCCCGAGAAATTCCCAAATCGGTATCCCGATCGTTATCCAGTAGATCGATATCCCGACAGATATCCACTGAATGGACAGTACCCTATTGGAGCTGCAGGGGATACATTTCCTGATCCTATAGATCGATATCCCATCAGTGATCGTTATCCTATTAGTGATCGTTATCCAATAGTAGATCGATACCCGTCTTCGGAAAGGTTTCCAATTTCTGATCGATTTCCAATCAGGGGTGGCGATCGTCGTCCTATCCATCCCGACCGGTATCCTATTCCTGACCCTGGAATAGACAGATATCCAACAAGTGGCAGTAGATATCCAACTGGAATCGGTAATCGATATCCGATATCTCCAAGTCGCTACCCTAGCGATAGTGACCGATACCCTAACTCCATAGACCGATATCCTATTCCCGAAGATCCCTTGGATCGCTATCCATCCGGGTTAGCAGGTGCCAGGCCTCATGTGGATCGGTATCCTATCAGTGAAAGATTCCCTGAGAAGGATGTATATCCAAATCGGTAAGTTATTTAAGAAACAAGTGATACTGACTTTTGAAAATAAACTATAGTTTATTTCATCTTACCTATCTTCAATACTATCAACCACATTTCGCACCAACCGCAATCCACCTGTAATTTCCCCTCTATTCTCAGGTTCCCACCCTCGTCCCACGGAGGCTACTCTCCAACCTACTCCGTGGACGATGTCTACGGCCCCCAGACTCACCCTGACCGCAACCACTACGGTACAGCAGGACCCACCCGTCCTTTAGGGTACGGTGGTTATAACAACGAGGGAGGAATAATCGGTGGTGGCTACATAGGCGAAGGTGGAGTGTACAATACACGACCTTTCGGAACTAGCGGTGGCCCTATTATTGGTCGGCCGCCTCTGGTGTCCAGATGCGACGAGCAGGATAACTTCCGACAAGTGGGACCCCATACAAGGGTCCGCAAACCGTTCGTCAGGCGATATACAACAGCCTCCTCTTTGGCCCAGTGTGAGAGAGAGTGTGCCGACGCTAGGGACTTCGTGTGCAGATCGTTCAATTACCGTCCCTATGCAGCTCCATATGGCGCTGAAAGGGATAACTGCGAGTTGAGCGATCGCGACTCCAGGGATATGGACATGGGCAATCCCGTGTACTATGATACAGGCTCCGATTACGACTTCTACGAGAGGAATAACGGCAGACAGGGCGCTGACGCGGAGTGTCTCGACGGTAAGCGTCGTAGGAGACCCTGGGCGCCATCTACGTGGGTCACGTGGAGAGACCTTTACGAAGCTGGTCCATATTACAGGCGTTATTGATACAGCTCTGAATTATTGTACAGATATTGTCGAACATTGTCATTTGGACTGAGTTCAGTAAAATAAACCGTCTGTTCTTTCCAAGATCAACTATTTTTTTTTACTTTTTGTTTGGTCACATCCGTTAGTATCGATCTTCCTCTGATTTCTGTCAGCGTGGGGGGTATTCTTGGATGTCTCTAGAAAGAATAAGAATTCACGATTAGTATGATATATTTCTCTCTTCGATATGGGGATATACTACTACGGAAAAGAATCCATGGAGAGCAAGTAAAGTGTGTTTCTGGTCCTTCCAGTGAGTCAAGTGTGTAGCGAGGACGGGATGGAATTTACTTTAAGGACACCGGAAGGATTCATTGGCCGGATTTACACTTATGGCTATTACGATCGCTGCTTCTTCCGCGGAAACGGGGGAACCGTGAACGTCCTTCGAATAAGTGGTCCCCAGGGTTATCCCGAATGCGGCACTCAAAGAGTAAGAAACTTATTTTGTCGTTGCTTGCTCGAAACTGCTGTAAAACATCTAAAATCGCCACAGATGCTCATTTTCGAGGGGCTGAACAATTCTTTAAGAACTTCCACAAAACCTTCAGAATCTATTAAAGATTTTCATCAAAATTTATTTTATAACATTTCTTTTTCTTTTATTTTTTAATAGGTAATATTTAGTATAATTGTGCTCTATTAAAGTTCGCTTTTGTCCTAATAAAGTGCATGTTCCAAAACTTCATCTATGAACGATTGCAGTATGGCGACACAATGACGAACATCGTCGTGGTACAATTCTCGGACTACGTGCAAACAGGAAGGGACAAACGCTTCAATCTCACCTGCCTATTTCGAGGCCCTGGCGAAGCTGTCGTCACATCCGGCTACATCGGTGCCGGGTATGCCAGGTCATATCGATTGAGAGACCGTGCCTTGCACCTGGTACATTTAATTAAACAGTCCGATCTGTCATCGAGTATGGAATGCAGAATGAGTGGCATTCGTTTAGTATGAATCCCGGTGCAAGCACTCTCGATAAACTTATTTTAATATCGTGCGGGTTCCCTCGTTGAAGATCAGTCGATTGATGAATTATGTCCAAACTCGAGTATAATTTATAGACAGCGAGAAAGACACTTGTGGCTTGTTTCACCTGGAACAAATGAAATATAGATTCATAATTCCAATTTCAATTTTGTAATTAGATTTTCAGCAAGGAAATTATTTTCAATTTTCCTTGCTACTTGCTCTTACATGAAACTAGATATCAAGGTGTCATTTTGTATGTACTTAGCTTCTTGAAGAGCTTATTAGGAATGAATATAGATCCATTTGTCTGAACTGCGCTAATAGATTTCGCGCTTGTGTTATATAGATCAGGGTCTCCAATCCCTATCGAATATCTCCCAGCGGAAAACACCCTAAGTTCTCGGGTACGTTTGATGATTCTGTACCAGGGTAGACCTACGACGACCATCGCTGTTGGTGATCCACTTACTTTTAGATTGGAAGCTCAGGATGGGTTTGTAACATTTTTTCCCTTTCTTCTTTTCTAATGTCAATTTTCTATAAATGTGTAAAATGTTTCTAATAAAAATTTCTGTTGTGTCTCCTCTTTTAATGCTCTTTGGCATCCTGTTGTAAAAGATGGATGTTTTTGTAAGAGTATGATTAGTTAAAATTTTGGTTGATATTTTTTACAGGTACAATTATGTAACTGACATCTTTGCTACCAATGTGATAGCAAGAGATCCATACTCTGGAAGAAGCGTTCAACTTATAGACAGATATGGGTAAGTGTAGAAATTATTGTAACTTTTATATGTTAATGAACAAAGTGTAAATATTTGTAGATCGTTTTGTTAATGATTTGTCTATTCGAATATTTGTTTAGTTTACCTTTTTAAGTATTCAAATTGCTTTCAATTTTCACAAAATAGCATTAAAATTTAATCTTCATTACCGAAATAATGAAGAAAGATATTCTACCTTTGTGTTCCACATAACAAAGGAATTTTGATTGATCCACTAACAACAGGAACAATCAAGGTAATGGAACTTTGCTGTTCACGTCTCCTGGGTGCTTCCGGTTTTAATGGACAAACGCAGGGCATGTATGAAGCACTCAAAATAAGATCATAAGTTTATGAAATTATGGGTGCGCAAAATCTCAGTTCAACGAATAGCATTTTCAACATATTCAGAAATTATGCAGATTATGTTCACAATCCATATTTCTCTATCGTTAATGTTTACTGATCAATTTAATTTTGATGAGGCAAACCTGAAATGTTTGGTATTGTTAATTATCTTAATTATCCAATCAACTAAACTTATTCACGTTCGTCGATCTTATTTACTCGATTTACATAATTAAGGTGAATTACTTGCCTTATCTGTACTACGTGATTTTCCTGCTTTATCTGTTCTACACGATTTACCTGACTCACTTGATCTGACTTGCCTGATTTACATAATTAGCTTAAAGCATATGACTTATCTAACTTGCTTAATGAACTTCATTTATGCTGCTTAATTTGCCTAATTTACTGCATTTATTTCTTTCATTTTGTCCAATTTATCTACATATTTGACGTTTCATAAAAATTCTAACTTATTTTAATCTATTAAACTAGTTGCATCTCTATTAATGCTCCAAGAAATAGAATACAAAGGAAATTATGATGAATAAATTTTTGTATAATTTTGATACAACCTATTCACACAGTTGCCCAGTGGACAATTACGTGTTCCCCGGATTAGACCGTTTGCGAGATGGAGACAGCCTTGAAGCACGTTTTAACGCTTTCAAAATCCCCGAATCGAATTTCTTGGTATTCGAAGCAACCGTGCGAACATGTAGAGATGGTTGTCAGCCGGCTTACTGCTCCGGCGGTACCGGAAGAAGCGAGCCATCCTTTGGAAGGCGGCGAAGAGACGTGTCACAGAATGACACGATCGTCGATGAAAATGAAATAAGCACGATAACTGAGAACAACATAAACGACACGTCCTCCGTGTCGAATTCAACGGTTATCGAAGACAATAACAACGCAGAAAATCAAGAAGAAGAAGAAGAAGAAGAAGAACACGTGAGAGAAATGATTGAGGTAAACCTAAAAAAAAAAGAAAAGCTTTAATTATGCAATCCATAAATATTTCTTGAATTTTTATTTAAATAATGATGAAAATAGTACCAGCCTTAACTTCCTAGTCCTGTTTAAATTTCTATTAGCACATTGCAGTTTATTTTATAAACTTGAATATGTATCGGTTAACTCCTCGTCATAACAACGAGTGGGAACCTTGAGTAACATTCACTTCTCTCTCCTTGTGCCAAGAAACAACTTACGGTGTTTAGTAAACAGAAACATTTTCAAGACAAAATTAAATATTATGTCTAAACGAGTTGCAGGTCTTGGACTCGAGAATGGATATCGATGAAGAAACCATGGTTGAAAGACAAACTACTATAATGGAGAATGTATGCATTACTCCAAACGAGTACTATGGCCTCGTAACAGCAGTGGCGGTGTTAGTGGTACTTCTAGCATCCGTGGTTCTGTTATCCATGCTGATTTACAGGTATATATTATCGATGATACATTTCGCATGTTTACGAAAGCCAATCAATGTATGTAAACTGTTTCAGGAAATACGCTTACACCGTTATCACGAAGAACCGCAGAGTTGATAAAGCGTGTAATCGAAGCAGTCATTCCGATGATGCTTACAGTAGTCGCGCTAACAATTTCTCTTTCTTGAGAACGGGTCTTCAGAAACCTTTTCAGTCAACGTACGTAACTGACTTCACGTCTATTTGTTCTTAACATAATTTAATCTTTCATGATTCCTAAATGTACCTTACTCCAAATTCTTTTTAATTCATCCTCATCTTGTAGCTATAGTATACTTATATATAGTCATGCAACTATTTCTTCAGTTTAGAACTTGCCTTGAAACTACATCCTATTTCTGTAACTAAAAATATTTTTCTACAATTAACAAAAAAGTAGTGTGCTTATACTAAAAATGTAGAATACTTATTAATAATAGAATAAAATAATATAATACATATAGTTCTAGTAAATAGAGTTTTATAATCCAACGTTATTGAAAAAAACATTTCTAAAATTACATTTATATTTTGTTCCACACCCGGTATACCTGATCTTTATTAAGAAACGCATCTTTCATGTATGACGAATGGCTTAATGCTTTTAACGCTTTTAACGCGATGTGCGATTTATTCTCTAATTTATTACCTGAAGTTGATATACATTTATTCGATGAGCAGTTCGATCTCCCGATCGATGAGCAACGTGATCGGTCAACGAGTGAGCTCATCATCGACCGCCCTGGAGGGCGCTGTGGGATTATCATCCAGTAGAAGAACCGGATTTGACCCGAGCGAACCGATCTACACCGATCCATCACTGTTCGAAGTTGCTCGTTGCTCGTCCCCGAAACCTGCCCTCAATGATAACTTCCATCTGATGTGAAGATCAGATCGCGTTAAATTCTCCTCTTCGAAAACGTGTACTCATTGTTAGTCCAACATTCGAGACTTGAAAATAGAAAGCTAGAAGCATTTCGACGGATTCATTATAATCGAAAGGAATAGAAATATCGATAGATTTTTGTATTTCAATACTGAAATTGTCATTGCACGATACCTTAATAGATCTGATCTCAGCGATGTTAGAGTTTAAAATACTATTAATGACTTGGTTTTAAAGGCCTCGTTGGTTTTGTTTTCAAAACTTGTAGATTTTTCGTTCCATTAAATCTTCTTCTTTTTCTTGCCTTTATTTTCTATTATTTTAAACACTACTAGTCAACTTCACTGACCACTGCCAGCTACGACTGCCATGTCTATAAACTGACATATATACTTTCACTGGTTTAGTAGGAGTGTGAACAGTTTGTCATTATTTTCGTGTTATTGTTTGAACTACTTTTATGTAGACACATAAATAATATGATTATATTGAACGTTATTTTCCTGGACAATATTTTCCTGGGATGTTTGTTTATAGTTATGTAGTATAATTTCATTTTTAAATTGAACAAGGATTTATTTTGACATAGAAGTATAATAAGAAGATAGCAGTCGTAAAACGTATTTAAAATGCAATCTCTGACAACCTGTTACAAACTATTCTTCTGAGTCTATCTATTCAGTCCTAACTTACCATTTATAACGTTTGTACAAAACAAACTATAAAATTATGGAATTAAAAGAATTCCCTGTTTGTGTTAAAAAAAGTATTGTTAGCGAATCATAAGTAGCTAGCGTTACGAGCTTTTATTTATTACGATTTCAATTGTAGTTAGAAAGAAATTACTAATAATAAACAGATATTACAGAAATCGAGTACCGTTCGTATGTATTTAATTCAAGAGAATCTCTCTTTTTTATCCCCATTAAAAAGAAATGAACAAAGCCATCGCACGATGCAATCATGAGTATATTCATTTTATTCTCTCCGGTCAATCTTCCTTTATCCTATCGAGCTTATACGTAAAAAGAAGCATCCTTAGCCTAGCTTCTTCTTTTCGATAGTGAGCCTCTTCTAATTTAATCCTGGCCTCCTCTTTCAACATAGCAGCGATATCAACCTTCATCTGTGCCTCTGATAAAGCCAATACGTACAGTTCTTCCTCTTTGTGAAGGGACCTTTTCGTTCTTCGAGATTGCTCATGAACAATCGACGGGGAAATTAGCGTTTGCGTTCCATTCGATTTGAAAATAAGTCGATTTTTCTCCGACGTTTCGTCTTTGTCTAATTGCTCGACCACAGATAAGTCCAAATCTTTCTTAGGTTTGTCGAAGCAGTCAGTTACTGTACCGTGTGATAACGAGTTCGAATCGATTTTACTGCTGATGGAATCTATGATAACAGAAGAACCATTATATGGTATATATTTCGAATATAATGTCTAATTCATGGCGTATTTCTCTGAACAAGAGACTTTCGACAATCTTCGTTTGCAAAATGAAGAAAGTACAAAACTTCCATAACCCTTTTCGAAAATGAGAAAGAAATATTTTAAATAAAAATTTATGCTTGTAAAAAGAAAAATTAAATAAAATTTAGAAAATATAACCTGGATCTTTACAATTATTTTCCTCTTTCAAAGTGTGCTTCGTGGGTTTTATAGTGCACACAGATTGCAGCGTAAACGGTTCAGATTCCTTTGGCTCAAATACGACATTTGGCGGTAAACCTATAGTTCCGGTGGCTATTGGAACTTCCGGTATAGAATTTCTATTTTCCCAATTTTTCGACCGTGTATGGTCTTTGGATAAGTGGCAAAAGCCTTTTGAAACACTGCTAAAAAAATCAAAGGAATTGTATGAAAATTCAGATACGAATAATAATTTTGGTATATGTAGGAAAATAACAAATTTGAAAACACTGGAAGCAATAATGACAAATAAAACATTCTATATATACAATTTGAATATTCCCGCGCTTTTACAGAACGACATACATGAAAAATAATATCGCGAATGTATTATATTTACCGCAATTTTTTCTCTTCTCGATTTCGTTTGCATGCTTTCATGTTTTCCCAACAGCGTCTTAGTTGTACAGCTGAACGTATTCCCTGAGGACCTACCATTGAATTGTATTCGTTGGCCAATTGAGACCATGCTGATTTTCGTTTATACATCGATATTGGATCAGATCTTTTATCTTCGATATCTTCGTATTTATTTATCAAGGTTATCAGAATTTCTCGTTCTTCGAAACTATAAGTTTTACGAGTACTTTTCAATGACGAAGAAGCCATTTTAGCATAGAAAAAATGCTGAACTATCCCAGCGGTCTTCCATTGTTTGTTTTTTCCCCCCAACATTACTTAATAGCGGAGTTGTATAAATTTCTTTTTCAATAGGTATAATATAATTGATTACGATTATAAGACAAATATTATTACAGAGAATTTCGTTTTCATCTATATCATACATATTTAATCTCTCATAATTGATACGACATTATTATCTTAATGTAATACTTACATCATTAATTCGAATTTACGAATGAATTTTTCACTTGAGCACGAAGTATTACTTCATATGAAAATTGTATATTCTGACTCGAGTACTTAATTAACATAATTGGAGTGTTAAAACTTGAATCTGTTATATTTATAAAGCATTTCACTTATTAATATGACGTGTTTAATCTCAACGGAAAAACTGGCGCCAGGGAAAGTAAAATATAGTTCATGAACATTCCAAGCAGTTGGCGCCAGAGGAAAATCATTTTAATGGCAGTGCGTTCAAAATACAACAAACATGTACAGGATATCGTGGAACTACGGGAGACAGTGGATCCAGTGACAGTGTGGTATCCGTAGTAATTGTTATAAAATGAAACGGCATGTTCTATCTGATGCAATTCCTTAGCGGGCTTCTTTTGCTTCTTCTCTCAATACCGCTGAGCAATGGTGTGGATTACACGTACGAAATCGACTGCAGTAACCTACGAATGGGACAATACATCTGTCCTCATCCCGATTATGATTTCATAGATCCAAAAACGCAACAACCCAAAGGTTGCACGAAGGAAAATAAAGCCAAAGGTATGTAATCTTATCTCTCTTCGTTACTGCTTTATAAACAGAGAAATGTTTGACATAACCTATACGTGTGATATGCTACACATTTAAAAACTTTTTTTCACTTTACTCATAGTCAGAAAAATATTTTATTCTATTTCTTATTTTTGTAACGAAGATAATCTTGCATACATGAAACTTGAACTGACATGTTCATTATATTGTTGTTAGTGTTGTGTCTGGCTGCGGATGGCCTCATTTGTACAGAAACAAAAAATAATACGTTCAAGAAGGATATTTCTTGTAAATGGACGTAAGTACATATAATATTATCCAAAGTGTGTTAAGTATCATAATAACAATTGTATTTTATATTTAAGTATGCAATCGAAACATGCAGTAAGTAATGTTCTTTTTTGTATTAATGTTCACAGAAATGGATATTCCTTTGAGACATCCTTGTTACTCTCTATATTTCTTGGCATGTTTGGGGCAGATAGATTTTATCTAGGGTATCCAGCATTGGGCTTGCTTAAGCTGAGTACTTTGGGATTTCTCTTTCTTGGCCAATTTGCGGATGTAATACTTATTGCGACACAAATCGTAGGACCTGCTGATGGTTCACATTATGTGATGCCATATTATGGTGCAGGAATTCATATTGTGACAAGTAATAACTTTACATACAGAGTGCCACAATATGATTGTTGAACAATTTCTACACTCAGAAATAACAATGAACAGTCTAAAAATTGTACAGCCCCTGCTTTAATCACGAGCAACGATATGCAATCCTAGAATTGAGTCCTATTTCAGCATACTTGGGAGAAAATTACTGTGTACGCTATTTTAATGAACAAACAGAAGAGAATCATCTTGTAGATATGTATTTCAACGAAACATTGTATATACAGATTTGTTACTGACTTATTACCTATTGCCAGTATAGTCGTGTAATAAATATTTGTTTTTATTTCTAAGTGTTCCTTCATTTCCATTCTTTTGCATACCTCAGAATGTATTGCATTCTTTCGTATTATTATTACTATCTTGAATATTAGAATGCTTAATTTTTCCTAAATTATAAAACGTGCTTACTGACATTTAATTACAGTTGATTAAATAATCTTAATTAAAAGAACAACGTGTAAACTTATGTACATATCGATAATAATTGTATTTCCCAAGAGAAACGACTTTCAACTTGATGCACGCACTTACGTATTGTCGAAAATGACGTTAATCGCAATTATCGCGATTTAATTATTATCCAGCACGTCTTTGATATAAAAGTGCTGGTACATGTTACCTTGACGGTCAGAAAACTTTCGGCAACGAGAGAAAAAAGTGTGTGCTCACTGGTCAGAAACGTGAAAAAGAATTCCACTTCAATTAATGTGTACTCACCGAATATGAAGAGTTTTATTCTAATTTTGCTACTCCAATGTGTGATTTTAATAGTAATTAGTCAACCAACAAAGAAATTAACTGTGAGTCTTTTACCATTTTATTATTATAGTTTCTTATAATTTAGTAAATAAGTAACATAAAAATTTCACAAATTATTTTTATATTACATTTCTTAATATTTTTAAAAACCATAATAATAAATAATAAACTTTTCAAACAAACGTAATAGATGCTTCCATTCGATAAATTAAATATTCAAGAAATATATAATGCAACTTAATTTCTTAAAACTTTTCTTAGATACTCATCCAAAAAATTATCCAAAGTTGTAAATAGACGACACGATTCATCCATTTTAACTTAAAATTTTGCTTCTTTCGTACACAGATCTTTCATTTAATCACATTCTGAATCTCTAATTTTATAACTAAATTTCTAATTACCTACAGGACATTGATGACAAAAGTAACAAAAATTATGGAGCACAGAGTTATTCCAGCACTTCAAAATCTAAGCCACACCCTTGCAGAACCAACCAATACTTCGACGTAGACAAGGGCCAGTGTCTAAGTGTATATGGTGGTGGAAAAGCACTGTATATAAATAATACAAAATCTTGTGGGACAAACGTATTAAAACCACACTGTACCAATCCAAGATACTACTACCAGTGTAAAGAAGATAAAACCATTTTGGTGCAATGTCCCCAACATAGGCACTTCGAAAGTCGCCTGCAAAAGTGCGTTTTGGTCTCTCATGAGGAGTATGCTTCTACTCAGTTGAAATCAAATGCTTCCAATCTTGCAAAACCTTTCGACTGCCACAAACAAGGCTCATATCCGGTCCCGAATAACTGTGGTCTATTTTACACTTGTACTATATACGGTTACCGAATGTACCAAAATTTCTACACGTGTCCAAAGAATATGGTCTACGACGCAGAAATGGAAATGTGTAAACCTTCCAGTACTTGTCAGCAATCAAACCAACCTTTGTGTTCGGATAATAATGGGAAGGAAATCATGACATTAGAAGAAGCTGAGAAACCGATGCACCCTTCAAAAATGATTTCAACGGGGAACAATGAGAAGTCAATGATGTGCGAGACGATATTTACGAACGATGAAGAAACTACGACTACAACGCCTTATAATGATCATGAAATTATATTAACGACTGCTTCTTATACCGAACCATCCGTATCTCAATTCCCGGGCACCAGCGATAGTAATGCTATTGTAATCACAACGGAACGTGCTTCAGAAATGTCACGTTCTACAAACATCCACGATTCGGTAGTATATACAACTGAGATGTATTCGACAAATCCGAAAGAGACTATGTTAAATCACGAAGCAAATTCGGCTACTGAAATGGGAAGGAATGAAGAATCAGAAATTACGACTTCAAGAGGACCTATGGAGGAAGAGCATAGTACAATCGCAATGGAGAAAACTGATGAGCAATCAATTACCGAGATTGGAGATATTAATACTACACCGTTAATTTTAGATGATCCAACAACTAGTAGTACAAATGCAGAAGTACAACAAACGAGTGCAGAAAGAAATTCGTGTGAATCATGTTTGGAAATGACTACTACTGCAGAACCAGGTATAGAAGAACAACATACTGAAATTGCATCGACGACAATTGGTCAGCAGATAACTACTACTGCTGCACCAGCTATTTCAGCTGATCCAACAACACCCCATAAGACAGAAATGGAAGTACAAACGAATACGGAAGGAAGATCAAATGAAGCTATAACCACTGGAGAACCTGATATAGAACCACAACATATTACAGTTGCATCGTCGACAATTGGTCAGCTAATATCTACCACTGCTGCATCAGCTACTTCAGCTGATCCAACAACACTTTATAATACAGAAGCGGAAGTAGAAACGAGTACGGAAGGAAGATCAGGAGAAATTATTACTACCAGAGAACCTGATTTGGAAGAACAACATACTAAAATTGCATCGACAAAAATTGGTCATCTGATATCTACTACTGCTGCATCAACTATTTCAGCTGACCCAACAACACCCTCTAATACAGAACCGGAAATACAAACGAATACGGAAGGAAGATCAGGTGAAATTATTACTACTAGAGAACCTGATTTGAAAGAACAACATACTAAAATTGCATTGACAAAAATTGGTCATCTAATATCTACTACTGCTGCACCAGCTATTTCAGCTGACCCAACGACACCCTCTAATATAGAACCGGAAATACAAACGAATACGGAAGGGAGATCAAGTGAAGCTATTACCACTGGAGAACCTGATGTGGAAGAACAACATACTGAAATTACATTGACGACAATTGGTCAGCTGATTACAACTGCTGTACCATCCATTTCAGCTGATCCAACAACACCTAGCAGTACAGAGACCGAAATACAAAGAGGTACAGAAATAAGTTCAACTGTACGATCTCCAGAAATTTACGCTACTCAGGATCCTATCTCGGAGGAACAACGTGATGTGACTCCAGAAAGCGAAATTATTCAGTCGACATCTACCGAATTTGGATCTACTGATGTTCCAGCAGCTGTTTCAGTTGATCCAACACTTAGCAATACAGAGGAAAATGTACAAAGAGGTACAGAATTAAGTTCAGATGAACCATCTAAAATTGGTACTAGTGAACAGCCTAATGCGAAACAAGGATGTATTACTACCGCGGCGAAAATTATTCAGCAACCAACTACTAATATTTTAAGGGATTCAACAACACCTGGCTATACAGGAACAGAAACACAAGGAACTACAGAAGTAATTCCAACTGATTTATCATTGGGAGTTTCTAGCAATGAGAAACCTAATTTGGAAGAACAACAGAATGCATCAACAACAGAGGAATCTAAGGAAGAGTCCACTACTGAAATTGGAACCACTGATGTTACTCCAATTATTTCAACTGGTACAACTATGGCAAATAAAGTAATTACAGATAGAAATAAAAAATCAGAGCATGATAATAGAGAAACTGATGAACAGGGATCTGTTGATTTTGCCCCAACAATTTCACCATCCACCGAATCTGGTGATGAAGATGCAATGTTTGGATCTACTCATCATAACAATTTAGATAGAGTAACAATTACTGAATCTCCAAGTTTAGTTAGCACTGGTGGAGAACCTCTGTTGGAGGATAATAGTACAGCTGACGACAATATCGCAAAAATATCTACAAGAATGTCAAATGTTGATGTAACTGAAAGCACGGATAAGATTTTTACCGATAGCGTCACCAATTCAGCGGATCCGTCATCGACGTTACATTATTCGGGAAATGACTTTGCACTTTCCACTAGTACTGATGCAGCAAATTATGTTGATAAAATGACTGAAAGTATCATAAAAGATGAAAAACCTACGGAAAATTTTACACCTCCGTTGAATACTGTATCAACAGATCCAATATTTGTAGGAAACAATGCATCCGGATCAACAACCGTTTCAGCATCAAGTACTATTGATAACAGTTTTGTAGACTCGACGTCGACTGCCATGTCAGTAACAACGTTTTCTATAAACGATGTTTCTGAATCGTCGACACTTCCGGTACTTCCAGAACCAAGTACAAAAGAAAATACGCTCAGTAAAAAAGAAGAAAGTAATACATCACCGACGACAGAGTCTAATATAATGGGAACAGATTTCTCTACAGAAGTAAACACAATGTTTACAATTCCTAACAATAGTAATTTAGATAATGTTGAACATGTAACTGAAGGATTTACTACTTCTTCCACTGATACAAGTATAAATGAAACAGGTAAATCGGTTTCACAAGAGGATGGGTTATCAACTACTACTACTACTAAAGAAATGAATACTGACAGTACATCAAATAATACTACAAGACCAAGCAAATTTAATTTCATTAATAAGAAATCACATTTTAAATCACTTTATAGGCATTTATATTCTTGGATCGCAGATAAGAAGAACGCATTTCATCAAAACAAAAGTATTGTAGAAAAAGATTCTGTAATGGAATTGATACATACATACTCTATAAAGACGATGTCACAGAATATTATATTATCTATTGCGTCAGTAGTATTAAGTATCGCTGATAAGTTAAGGCACCATATCCAGCGTATTTTAACGAAGATACTATAATAAGAAATATTTATAAAATGTGACGAGTGAATATTTATTAAAAACATTTGTATCAATATAATTAGATAAAAGATAATACTATCATAGGCATGAGGATACAAGTAAATAAGTTATATGTATTTGAAAATATAAATATAAATATATTTGTATATATATTTACATATTAGGAGCTGAGGTAGTTCACCGAACATTCCCAAATAATATTGTTATTTTAGAATAAATATGTTTTCTAGAAATTGTACTGTTTCAGAGTCCTATTAATATTATGCATTTTCTTTGATTTGTTCATTCACTAAAGAATAATATAGGCCTTTCTTTTTAATCAATTCTATATGAGTACCCATCTGAAAATTAGATACAATAAGAGATATTTAATTTTAATTTTATATTACACTTTGTATTTCATGTTTAAATACATACTTCTGCGATCATTCCTCGTTGTAATACAACGATGACGTCGGCATTTTTAATCGTACTTAATCTGTGAGCAATTATTAAAACTGTTCTTCCTTGAGTAACATTGTCTAGTGCTTTTTGTACAATTCTTTCACTCTCGTAATCTAACGCACTGAAAATTAGTATGCAAAATTACGAAAATTGGTTAGAATATTCAAATTCGTTAAAATAATTATTGCCTATTACTTTTACCTTGTAGCTTCGTCTAAAATTAAAATGGATGGTTTTTTTAGTAATGCTCTTGCGATTGCGATACGCTGTTTTTGTCCACCGGAAAGTTGCGCTCCTCTTTCCCCTACTTGTGTATCATACTTACTTGGGAATTTCATAATAAATTCATGAGCATTTGCTTCTTTCGCGGCTTCAATGACCTAAAAATATTTAATAATAAATTTGACAAAAAATGTAATTTTAATGAACGTTCGGTGTTAATAATAGCACTTACATCTTCATTTGTAGCATCTGGTTTTCCATACCGTATATTTTCCATGATGCTAGTAGCAAATAAAATAGGTTCTTGGTCTATGTATCCTAAAACGTTACCTCTAAGGTAACTAGCATTAAGTGACCTTAAATCTTTCCCATCAATTGTAATTGAGCCATCATTAACATCATAAAACCTAAAATATTGTTTATCATTTATTAAATTAACTTGTGAAAAAATTTTACATGAAACAAATTTTAATTAAAATACCTTTCTAATAAAGCAGCTATCGTTGATTTCCCATTACCGCTAGAACCAACAATAGCTACTGTTTTTCCAGC